GCTAACGAATATTTCTATCAAGTAAGACAGGTGATTCCTTGTATTTGACAAGTAATATATATTTGTTGCGGCAAGGTTGGCCCATATACTAGATTTTTTTTTAGTGTAGTTTTTGATCATAGGGTCATGCCAATTCATCTCCTACCTTTTGCTTAAAATGGTTTTGGAGGGATTACTAATTTTTTCCTTCATATTTTAGGATTATACATTTATACCTAACACAAAAAAAAAAAAATCTCAGAAACATAACATATAGAACATTAATGGTAAAAACATTTTCACGTTGTGAATTTTGATTCTTCGTGTTGCATGCCTATTTACTTAGTGGGCCTCTTGGCCCAATAAAATGATTCGACGTTGTGATACTGCTTTATTTAATAGACCTTGTAGCCCAAGTAAAAATAATCATTGTGTGTTACATATTTTTTTTCATAAGATGAACCGCGATTCACAAAGTGACTCATGACTCTTTGTTTTCTACTGACATCGTTTTTTTGACCTTTTGAGACTGCTTCACGTTGCAAGATACCTCTTTCTTAGAACATTGATTTCCCTTAAGTCCTGTAAAATAATATGGAAAAGCTGTTGTTGTATTGATTCACAGAAGCAAACTAGTTATAAACAATTGTGATACCTAACCATTAATTTTTTTAGCAAAAAAAAAAAACAATTGTGATACCTTAACCTAGTAGGAATATTAACATATTAGATTACAACTAAATCCCTTAGTAATTGGAATATATCCTTATCTCAATATCCTCTTTCTCTCTATATATTAACAATCTTCAGAACTTATATTCATGCAGCAAAGTATTGGATTAAGAAAGGTCGTAGTTTGATATAATGGGTTCGTACGTAGCACATTCTACAATCGTGAAGAATTGGAGAGAGCATCCTCCTTCTTCTTATTCCCTCAAGATTGACAAACTCTCCCAATTTAATCTCAACAAATACGAATCCCGTCGATTCTTGTCCGGTGGATACAACTGGTACGTACGTTCTAATATATACTAGCATCATCATCCTCTAAATATTTTTCATCATCAAGGTTTATATGTTATCTATTTTTGCAAAAAAAAAAAAAAATTTAAATATCAGGAGATTAGCTATATTCCCAAAAGGAAACAAAGCTGACAACGGAAGTGGGTTTATTTCAATGTATGTGGAAATAGACAGCACAAACCTCGTGTCCAGACCACCTACTGAGGTGTTTGCATATCTCACCTTCTTGGTCTATAGCAAGAAAGAAAACAAATACTTATCTATCCATGGTTAGTACATACGTAGCTTAC